CATTGGTCTATGCCACTATAGAACCATCTCACATTGCAGGTGCAACGGCAGATATTGTATCATTATTCTGGCGCAACAGTCCTTCTACCTGATCTTACACCCAGCAAGGAGTTGGCTGCAGAAGCTCAGAGAATGAGGCTGACAGCTACTGCTTTGGTTAACGAGCATATTTTCATGATTTGTTGAGGGGGCTTTTGTCAAGGTGTTATCCAGTGTCCTCTACCTTCTGTGATGGTGCCCCCAAAGGATTGTGGGGGGGAGGAGCTTATGTTGACCACAATGCCCTTGGCGGTTGCCATTTATTTTCTCCACACAATGCCTAAGTGCTCTAGACTTCCAGAGCACTGCAGAAAGTAAAGATGAGAGTCACTAAGATTTTATTTTTTTAAGGTGAGTGTGGGGCAGGTCTCCATAATGGGGTGCTGAAGTCCCAGCAGCTGCCCATAGAAACTGTACAGAGGCCGCAGGCCTGTTTGTAAGTTTGATTTAATAGCAAGGTTCAGTGGAACCATTTTCATGACCGAAGAATTGAACCTAGAAAGTGTGCTGTCTAAAGCAATAGCACAATCGAATTAAAACAAACGAGGGTTATGAGAGGCAGTTGTGTATGCAGTAGTTTGCCGATGAGCACATAGGCCATGATAATATGTAGATTAATGGCTGGTTTTTGAAGGTTCTTCTAAGAAGCCCCTGCTTTGTAATTATGTTTGTAACAGTTTCCTTTCCTTTTCTATTTAAGATTGCAGTCCACGAAGTAGTTGAATGCAGATCACTGATACCTTAAGGAAGAAATAGACTGACCGGTATCCCTGCGGTGGCCACTTAGAAACTTCACATGGGGTAGCTCTAATAATATAGACTAAAGGACAAATTGCCTATGGCCTCCAATTTGACCATATGGTAAGCCCATTATTATAATGCCCCCTACTTCCACTTAATTATGGGAGAATGGTAACAGTGAGTTTATATGTGGCTGGAGGCTTCAGATGACCACCTCTATGCATAGTCAAAGTTGCTGCCCAACTTATTTTTAAGTTTCAGTCCTTAAGAATCTTTCCATGAAGTGGTTTAGCCCTGTGAAGGTTTGATTTTATATTAGTACACAGCAAAGCAACACACACCAGTGTTTCAAATCATGGTGGGCACAATTCAGCCAATGTTAAACACTTTTAATTTTATTGATTTGAATAAGACATTTAAGGATTCATTTCAGTCTCCCCCTCTTGAAATCAATGGGCTTTAGAAGTATTTAACTTCAGGTAGATCGTGTCAAACTTTGCTGTTTTAAATCATTAAGTTTAGTGGAAATTCTTATTCGAAGGGTTCCATTCAATAAAACATGCTTAAGTTTATTCCTGCTCAGCAAAATCCTTTGCCGCGATACTATTATGCAAAACTCCTGCCTTGTCTGTAGTATGAGCAAAATCTAAAGTGATGCATTAGTGAAATTCAATTTGATGGTAAGCTTTATGATTTACTAGTGTTATTTAGGCTGACACATTCATATTTTGGAAAGTTATAAACCTGTCACATTCATTATTAATAGTAATAATATACAAAAGATCGATAAGGCTCTCGTGTTTAGATACTGTGTTTATATTATTAGAGGAGAATAAATTATTCAGACAGCTGTTTCATTGAATTCACCCTGTACAATTCAAGGCAATTACATAGCCTCCTTCATCTATACACATTACTCTGTTTTACTCTCTTAATCCAATTTAGACAACAAGAAGGAACTTGGAGAGGATTTCTTTCATAAAACTATGGAGCCAGAAGTACTTCACTTTTTTGTAGTTCATATAATATCCAAAGACCACTTTCAGCTTCATATTTCTGTGATCTACATCTGCATAGAGAACCTATTGAATTTGCTCCCACTGTACTTCAACATCATCAATCTTTATTACAGTCCAAGACCAGACAAACTCCCCCCATATATAAAGATGGTCACCAACTTGGAGGGCTTTAAAAGAGGACTAGGCAGATTCACAAAGGATAAATCTCTTAATGGCTACTAGCCATGTTGGCTATGCTCTACCTTCACTGCAAGACTAAACAATTGAATGCCAATTGCTTGGGAATTCCACTTCCTACACCTACACCTACCTACACATACACACCTAAGAAAACTGTCAATTTATTCTTATTCTCTGCTTCCTGTTCCTTAACCGGCTATTGGTCCACAGTTAATATTGTAGGTCACAGATGAGACTGATTTGGTTTCCCCCTTGGGTTGCAGCAAAGGTCAATTTACTTAAATTACCCTCTCAGACCTCCTGCCAGGCCAAATTAAGCATTCAGTTACATTCAGTAGCCTCATTCTTCATTGACTTGCAGGCAGGCTGGGTTGTACTTTTAAATGTTCAAAACTACTTTAAAAAACCGTAAAGGGAGACCCACGTTAGAGCAGGAACACCTGTTTCTGATACTTTCATGCTTTTTCGATCCCCTCAGATGCGGGCTTTGGCAAAATACAAACACACAAAGGGGACACAATATAACATTATGTTACAGGCCGCTGCTTGGTGTACACCAGTTTTCTGTCCTCTTACAGTGGTACCTTGGTTCTCAAATGCCTTGGAACCCAAACACTGCAAACCCAGAAGAAAGTGTTCTGGTTTGCAAACATTTTTCGGAAGTCGAACATGCTCCATTTTGAGTGTTACACTTCTGATTTGAGTGCCACACTTCCGTTTTGAGTGTTACACTGTGGTCTGTCCGTTTTTGCTATTTATTTTACATTTTTGTTTTTGCGGCTCTTTTTTTATTTTTGTGACTGTGTGGAACCCAGTTCAGCTACTGACTGATAGTTTGTGTGACTGCAGTACATTGTTTATTGCTTTCATTTTATAGATCAATGGTCTCGTTAGATAGTAAAATTCATGTTAAATTGCTGTTTTAGGGGTTGTTTTTAAAAGTCTGGAATGGATTAATCCATTTTGCATTACTTTCTATGGGAAAGCATGCCTTGGTTTTGGGACGCTTTGGTTTTGGAACGGACTTCTGGAACGGATTAAGTTTGAGAACCAAGGTACCACTGTACTTATTGATTATTACATTTATATGCCAAGGAGACATACACAGAGTTCCAAGGTAGTCTTCCCTTTAGGCACTAACTGCATCCCTTCTCAGTTTCAGCAGGTTTGCTACAGCTGTATCTTCAAACCATGTTCTGGGACTATTTGGGGAATCTCTATAATAATAATAAATAATAATAGTAATTTTATTATTTGTACCCTGCCCATCTGGCCAGGTTGCATAGGTTCCTGTGTTAACAGGGAAGAATGACTACGTTTTTCAGAGCAAAGCAATGGCCATCAGGCACAATCCCACACTTGACATCCAACTGCAGAGGTCTGACTCAGCTTACGGCAGATTCCTCTATTCCTATGTGAGATGAAACAAAGCTATCCTGTGAAATTCGCACTTACCCAAACTTTGCAACACAGTTCTCCAGCCAAATGAAGTTTGCAAGCATGCTTAGCTTACATTAGAGGAAATTCTAAATAAATTAGTGAAAATAACATGCAAGAAATTGAGAGATTGCTTGCAAAACCATGTACATTAACCAAAACTGCATACAAAGATCTATTTATGAGGATAAATTGGTATGAAAATGCTGGTGATTTATCATGAGGATTTTTTTTAAAATCACTAATTGGTGCAGAAATGTAGAGAACCGAATTTGACATTGGGAAAAATGTGAAACTAAGAGAACTAAAATGGACAGCTTCTTCCATCCCTTCCCTAAATCCATCAACTCCACAATTTTTTGGAAGTTTCTAGTCCATCAAGCGCTACCAGTGACCCATCAAGTTTACTCCTAGTTCTGCTTGTCCCTGCTAGGGTGTAAGCTGTTCATCATCAACAACAACAACAAATTACTGGAGTCCCAAATGTAGCAATGTATTTGAAAAGCTCTACCTATGATACAGTAAAATGTTAAACAGTCTTATAGTACACAATCTGTTTGGCTTCATTTATCTCATTCGACTTAACTATACAATCTTTAGATTATGGAGATGTCTAAGAGATTTTAGGGGTATCTATTCACTTTCCTTGTATTCCTCAAAATTTGTTTGAAAATCATGTGCAAAATGAATAACTGATTGCTATCCAGTGCTTTTTTTCTACCCCTAAACATTTTGTGAATCTTTGTAATTTTGTCCATTTGGTGTATTTATTTTTCCCCAATTCAAACTATAAAATGATGATTTTCTTGAGTCAAAATGAGAGTATCCCTAAACATTGTTTTTAGGGGGGGCGGGAAACACTGTTGCTATCTATTATGTATTTTGTGTCCTCATTTTGTGTTTTTATGTTATGAACCGCCCTGTGATCTTCAGATGAAGGGTGGTATACAAATTTAATAAATAAACAAATGCCATCCTTTTATTGTTAAGTTGCTAAAATCATTAAATGTTGAGACACAGAACATTCCATGTTCTGTGTCCTTCTAAATGTTCTTCGTCACTATGGCAAAATACTTATGTCACTTCTCATCATCAACAGAGCATTTTCTCTAAAGAGCATGAAGTCGTGATACCTTGATTCTATCCAGAACATGATACTTAATGTCAGTTAGTGTCTGAGGCACATCTATAGAAAAATAATAATAATAATAATAAAAAATCTCCGTCTAACACTAGTTTGAGCACAAGTAAGAGTCATGGTTGTATGATTTCCTGGGTGCATCTTTGAATTAATATTGGATCACATCTGTCTTATTAGCAATTAGAAAGAGTCACAACTCTGCATGCATATGTTCAAATTAGTAACAAGAAAACCACGTGTAAAATGTTACATTAAAATTGGCCTCCGGTTCGCAGCAAACAGAACCGTGGTCTAAGTGAGCATTAATCTTGCATACTGATTTTCTAATAGAAGATGACAGGTCCCCAATAAATTTTAAATGTTTCCAAAAGCAATAGCATACAAAAAAGAGAGAAGTACATGTTGCAGATGCCCAGAAATAGAATGGGCTCTTCATTTCTGCAATATGCCCAATGTGTTTTGGCCACAAATGCCTTTGTCAAGGGCTTATTTCCTTGTTTCTTAATGAAGCAATCTCAAAGCTTTCTGTCAAAAGACTGTCAGAATCTTTGACAACAAAAAGCTTTGAGATTGCTTCATTAAGAAACAAGGAAATAAGCTTCTGACAATGAAGGTATTTGTGACTGAAATGTGTTGGACATACTGCAAAAGTAAAAAAATAAAAAAGCATCATTTTTCTTGGAATCTGTGAGATCTACTTCTCTTTTTCTGTACCCTATTCTTGGATTCTTCCTTTTCGGTGTGTTGTTCCAAAAGGAAATAGCAATGAATAGGGGTGGGGCACTCATCATAAATTTAGACAGTATCTCCTAAACCAAAATCCAAACTTTGCTTTGTCTTTTGGAGTAGGTGAGGGTATTTGCAGTCCCATGGCCAATATTAGTCACTGATAGGTTGCAGTAACCATCTTCTGACAATGCTAATTACCTGACTATAGGAAAGATTTTTGAAAAGACTGACATTTTTTGTGGATTGCAATATCATCTGAAGAACAACCCTTTTATGAGGCTAGGAAAGACAGAAAACATCATTTTCTAAAAGAATAGTCCATGTTGGACTATGTTGGACAGATGTTCCAAACATCTGTGGACCTAACATGTGCAATCTTACATTATCCTTGCTGGATATTCATAAAATACTTATCTATCTTTCTCCAAAGCATTAGATGGCATGAACCATCAATTTGCTGTCATTTGCCCAGGCAGGCACATTATGTGACCCATAAGAGCAGCAAAATAACCAGACTGTACAACGGTGATGGGATAAAAGCAGGTCAAATCTCTATTGACAGCAGCAGGCAGGGCAAGGGTTGGCATGGCACTGGGTCCCAGGATCAGTTCATCATTCCACAAGCCCCATGTTGATGGACTAGATCTGCTGGGCTTGGATCGCTCCAAACAGGTATGACAGGAGTTGGCCAGCGTTGAACCTTGCTGTGGTGTTCGCCAAGCAAACAAGGTTTCACTGGGGGACCAGGGTGCAGATTCCAACCGGGGCAGATACTGAACCCATGCTTGGGTTTTCCATGGTCAATCCTCCCCTCAGGCCCCTTATGTTGTGTTGGGGAGGGCGCCAGGAGGCAGGACAGGCCCCCCAGGCAAACAACATCTACGTGCCAGTCGGTCTCTCCCTTCTGCGTGCCCCTTGGGAGATCCATCAATCTTCTTCCCTGTCGTGCTTCCGTGACTCATGTCTTTGGGACATGAGCACACATTGACTTGCCGAGTCAGTAATGCAACAGAGCTGGCTCGAGGTGTGAGTACTAGCTATTATATACAAATCAGGACAAAGGAAAAACATGTCTCTTCTTCCTCGGAGAGAAGAAATACAACAGTACAACAGGACGGAACAGTGTAAATCAACTTCCGCTCCCATGACTCCATCAGTGATGGAATGTAAACACAGACATGTGATCAAACAATCCCACCTATCTGCACAGCGGGGGAATGGAATACCAACATGTTGATCCTGACCAATGCCATTTCCACTGCCATACAAACAATATTCTTCTGCCTAACAAAGGAAAGCTACAATTTCACTGAGGGAAAGGAGAGGGGAAAAACCAACCAAGTGCCAATCAGGTTGAGAGAAAAACAAAAATTCTTTTCGGCCCTGTCAACCAGTGACCCCAAATTGCTCACCCAAGGGTGGGCAGGTGGGAAGCTCTCAAAGCAAAACGACTGCGAGCTCCAGGGGAAGCAGCCTTATATAGGCTTTCCCCTCCCCTCTTCAGCAAGGGCTCATGGGGCAGCTTTTTCCCATGTGCCCATCACACAGAGAAGATACTGGGCGACATCCTGCCCGGTACTTTGCTGTAATCTATGGGCCACAGTGCCCAAAGCTGGGCAAAGGTGTCCCATGCTTACTGGGCACAGAACGGGCCTCAATAATGTTATCATAACTGGAGCCATGAACATGGTATAGAAAGTACCCATGTGATTAAAATAATGCATGAAACACCGACTTCCGGGGAGGCGCCTCTGGTAATGGCTGAATTCCTCTGACCGGGAGGAATCTGCTCCGTGGGAATCTGGGTCTGGCCGCCACGGCGAAGGCGGAGACCCGTTAAAATCACAGGCGGGAGAAGCCTGTGAGCGTGGGATTTGGCGGGCACCTTTTGCGCCTCCCCCACTCACGGGGAACCCCGGTTTTTGGGGCTCCGGAGCAACGTGGGGTGAGCGGCGCGGTGCATCAAATCGTCTGCTTCTTCCACAGAGCGAAGCCGCATAGCTGTTGCCAGAGAGCGCTGACCTTTTCCTGTGGACAATTTGACTTTTAAGTAATTACCCGTGAGTAAAGCTGAAGCGGAATAATTGGATTTCTAAAAGTTTAATTTGGTACCGTAACGGGGAGGTTCAAAACAGGAAGTCTGCCTCCCCCTTTTGTAAATAGACTGAGGCAAAGAAGTTGCAAGCTGGAGTCCTGGAAGGTCTTTTGTAAATGATCAAATTTCCAACAGTAAAGAACATTAAACCCCCTCTTGGAGGCAGGAGAAGAGAGGGGGAAGTTGCGGATTGAGTATGCCTGCGGGAGAGAGTGAAGAGAATTAAAACACTGCCGCTCTGACCCTGGAAACGGGCTGCTAGTAGGACTGACGTCTTTTGGAATGTTCATTGACAGCGTTTAGAACGTTCATTGACAGCTAGTTAAATAAGAGAAATACATTGTTTCTACTGTTTCCGGCTGCTTTAAAAAGGAGTAAAAGTAACTGGAAATTGAAACTAATTTGAAACTAATTTTGGATTGTTTAAAAGAGGATACTATTGACTATTACAAATAGAAACTGTTTCCCCCTAGTGGAAGCCTTTGAAACCGGTTGCTTTACAAGAGCTGGACTAGGGGAATTTCCAGCTGCAAGTTAAAAACCGTGAGACTCTGGGACTGACCTTGAATCTTTTAAGTGTTATGGTTAATGGAAGAGGAAAAACAGACCAGTCAACTGCTGACATAACATTAAGGTCTGGGAGGACTTGGTAACAATCCAGGAGAGGTCTATCTTTAGGCCCTCCTGCTCTTTCTGTTGTTGTCTTTGTATTAGTATATTTAAAACCAAGAGGAATGTCGACAGAAGAGGCTTTAGTGGCTGCATTATATAAGATAAATGACTCATTGGATCAGCTTCACAGGAAAATGGACATGATAAATGCAAAAGTGGATGTTTCAATTACTAAAATTAACTTAAATACAGAAAGTATAAATAATACCAATACAGAAACCACCCAGAAATCGATACAAGAACCTATTTTGATATGGCAAACTGTGGAGGAAGTCAGGGAAAAAGCTGTTGCTGCTGAAGGTAAAGTAACACAACTGGAGAGAAAGAGAAAGAGAACCCCAGCCCTACAGAGGCAATTTGATGAATATAAGTTGACGCTTGCTAGGACTGAACTTAAAGAAAAACAGACAAATTTGAGGATTAGAGTTCACCTTTGGTGGACATGCCCAAGGATTAAGACACTCTGGGAGATGATTCATAATGAAATGAAAAAGGTATTTAAATATACCCTTTTGAAGAAACCAGAGGCCTTTCTCCTGGACATGGTCGGCCAATTGGTGTTAAAGAAGGATAGAATTTGTTTCATGTATGCAACAATAGCAGCAAGAATACTCATTGTGAAGTACTGGAAGACACAAGATTTATCCATTCGGGAACAATGGCAGATGAAGTTGATGGACTATATGGAATTGGCGGAAACGACTGGCAGAAATCCGAGACCAGGGAGAACAGCTGGTGGAAGAAGACTGGAAAAAGTTTAAGACTATTTATAGAAATACTGTAAAAATAATGAATGTTAGAAAAATGTTGGAATGAAGTTATATGGCTTTAGTAGAAATGCTATAAGGAATCAAGTATAAATAGATTAATAGTGTATTAAAGGGAAAATAAGGCTAGAATATGTTAAGATAATTATAGGATAGAAAACAGAGGAAGATGGAAAGGAATTGCTGAAATAATTAATAGAAGTGGAAAACAAAAAGGGAGGTGTGAGGAGGTCGTGGAAATAAGGGAATGAAAGATAAGACATTGAAATTGTCTTGTGTTTGATATGGTTTGTGTCTTGCTTTGTTAGTTTTATGTTTTTCTTTTTTTCTTTTTGTGTTCCTTCTTTTTTGTCTTTCTGTTTTGTTGTGTTTAAACGGTTGAAAATTAATAAATATTATTTTAAAAAATTAATGCATGAAACAGCACATTGCAGAGATGACATTTATTTTAGGGAAGATCTAGAAGGAAAGTGATTGACAGAGTGTGAGGAACATACACACACAAATAAAGAAAAAAAAGAGAAACAGTATTATTAGTGCCATACTTTGCAGATGTAGCTTGTTTCTGTACAAGTGTCTGAAGCTGAGACTATAGGTTAAAAGTCTGCAGATGCGGTTTTGTATGCACAAATGCGTGTTCCGCATGTGCCATTGCCCCAGGGTAGTAGTTGTTACTATTTGTGAAGTTTAGGGATTAATTGTATCCTTTACAAAGGTCAATGAAGCATCCAAAGATTGCAAAGGACCTACTAAGAGATGGCTATCTTTTAGATAAATTAGTTGGTGATTTATCTTGATTATGCTTTAGTTCGTGCTTCAAAGAATCTTAAGTAGTGAACCCCACAGTCAATAAAAACAGATTACTCAGCTTTTGTTGAAAACTTATCTTTTCCACAAGGGAAATCTATCTTTGACCAGCTTCTTTAAAGTGTAACAAACAGATTTTGATTCACAATCCAAGTAGCAAAAGCCAGAGGCAACTGACATAGAACTAGAAAGTACACCCTCATGCTTGTGCTGACATTGCTCAGAGTGCCACTCCACACCCAGGGCCAGATTTAGGTTTGATGAGGCCCTAAGCTACTGGAGGTAAAGGGGCCCTTTATATGTCCAGCTGTCCTTTGTCAACAACAAATTGTCGCTGTTTTTGTGTGTTGAATATATGCTATAAGATAATTTATGGACCTAATAGCCAATTGCACATGCAGAATGTAGGCACCCTATACAGTGGTACCTCGGGTTACATACGCTTCAGGTTACAGACTCCGCTAACCCAGAAATATTACCTCGGGTTAAGAACTTTGCTTCAGGATGAGAACAGAAATTGTGCTCTGGTGGTGCAGCGGCAGCAGGAGGCCCCATTAGCGAAAGTGGTGCTTC